AATGTTAATATCTAGATTTGAAAACTAATTATATATTCTAATATAATTAGTTTCTAAATCTAAGTATTAGCATTTAATAAGATAAATTTTTAAATTTTGAATTAAGTTTTAATTAAATAAAATAACATAGTTTAAGATTGAAAATTCAATTTATTTTTGAAAACTGATATGTACTTTTTCCTTATCATCATCATCATCATCATCATTTTATGAAAGAAGAACAACATTATTGATTCAAACTAAATCAAACAAAACCATAATATTAGGATTGTAAATAAGTTGAGTTACTTATGAGTATTATAAGTCCAACTCAAGTTGGACTCAACTCAACTCAAGAGTTTGAATTCAAAACTAAACTTGAAAAGTCAAGTTGAGTCAAACTCAAAGCTTGATTCCATTCAATCTAACGCAATTGCATTAAAAAATACTTATATATTAAATTTTTAAAATTTTATTTTTATTTTTATTTAAATTGAATTTGAGTAATCGATCGAGCTCATAAGTGAAGTTTGAGTTTGAATTTGCAAGTTGAACATACAAGTCAGAGTTCAAACTTCGCATATTTGAACTTAATAAAAACTCAAAGTTGACTTGATTCATTACTATAACATCAAGCTCGAACTCGAGCTCTAAAGAACTATACTCATGTACAATCCTATATAAAATGTGCTTAATTTGAAGTTATTGGATACAAAATGTCTATTTCTATCAACTAATTTTGATTTATAAAAATGTATATATATCATGATTTTTTGAATGTATATAGACAAAGAGAGAGAGAGAGAGAGAAAAAATATAGATAGATAGAAACATGTCAATTATAACTCTTGACCAGTGTGTATGTAGCTGTATTTAGTATGTAATCTAGACTGATTTCTTAATTTTTTTTTTTTTTTTTCATTTAGATGCAATAGGATTAACCCCTTATTTAGTCCCCAACTTATTGATTTTAAGTTTATTGGCCCTTCACCTAAAAATTTAAGCTTATTAGCCCTTCAACAACATGAATTGGGGATATTTACTCTCATGATGATGAATTTGATGCATGCTTCTTAAATGAGCATGAGTTAGATGTTTAAGAGCATGAGTTAGATGTCATGTCCATCCCACCCAATGACAAATCTACTTCCTCTCTTTTACCTTGTGTGCCACAATGGTAGTGATAGAGTGCAACACATTTTATATTAGGTGTGAATTTTCCACTCATTGCCACTATGAAATGCCAAGTAGGAGAGAGAATGTTGATTTGTTGTTGAATAAGATAGGCATGACATCTAATTAATGCCCACATGAGAAGCACTTCTCAAATCCATTAGTATAAGGGTGAATTTCCCCAAATAATATAGTCAAGGAGGTTAATAACTTTAAATTTTTATTTAAGGGGCCAATGATCTTAAAATCTATACAGATTGGGGGGCTAAATGGGGGGTTAAGCTGATACCATATATATACATTTTGTTAGATTCGCTAATAATGATACCATATATATACATTTTGTTAGATTTATAAATAACGACTAAATGAATGAGGGCTTGTTTGATACAATAGCTAGAGCTATGAACGAGTCGAGTCGAGCCGAGCCGAGCCGAACTAAGTATCAAAATACTCAAACTGGAGCTTGACTCTATAAAAATGAGTTCCAACCAAGCCTATATTGATAAACTTGCAAATTACTTGGTTTATTTACAATTCAAAACAATTAAATGGAGTACATTATGTACTCTTAGTAATAATTTTTTTTTTCTTCACTAATAAAAAAATTAAGGAAAATGATATTTATATCCTCTAAAGTTATACACTTTGTTACACACTCTGTTACACACTGACGGTTTTCGTTAGGGTGTCTTTAAAATTGATGATTTTCGTTACTTATATTATTAAAACTGACAGTTTTTATTATTTTTGCCGTTAAAACTAACGGTTTCCATTAATTTTAATGACACACTAACGGAAACTATCAGTGTGTAACTTTTGGAGGGTGTATGTATCAGCATCCAAAAATTAAATCAATTACATTATATAGTACTTTTTTGTTAATTATTTTATATAAGGCATTTGCTTATGCATTGAGTATGCACTGCCACCTCCATTCACCTCCCCTCATCTCCTCTCCCTTCTCCTCTCTGATCGGCTTTCTATTTCTTGCAAATCAAACTAGCTATTGATGTGTAGTTTTATCAACCAAATAAAAATGCACAATCCACCAACAATTTAAGGCAAAAAGCTACTTAAGATAACTTTACCAATTTCTAAAAATTAATCATAGATCTCAAATTGCTAATTGAACTAGATTCCCCTCTTCTGCAGGTCCAAGTGAACCATATTTATGCCAACATGGCACTGGTGCTGACGATGATAAAATAACAAAGTAGAGATGACATGTCATTAAAATGATGGGATTCTGTGTATTTTAAGCCAATTACAACAATAACGTGAAGTTTACTTGGTAATGTACACAAGGTGTATGTTGAGGGGCTAATGATCTCAATGACAAACAATTGAAGGGTTTACAAGGGCTATGCCAAAATAATTGTATTAAGTATCTAAATGTAGCAATTTGGAAATAAATTATTTTATTGAACACATTTCTCTTAAGACTTGTTTGGTTCGAAAGTCACTTTACTAGGAAAGTTTTTATTGAAAAAGTGATTAGAAATTATAGTACAAAAAGTTAGAAAGTACCATACGAAAAATTAGTAATTTTTGTAATGAAGTTTTGTTAGAATTTTACTAGGTTATTAACTTTGTTTTGTTTGATAAGAAAATTGATATAAGGAAAATTAGTAGGGAAAATTGTTAAGTAGGCCTAATATAAAGAAAGTAATAGGGAAACATTTTTTTCTTTCAAAACAAGTGGAAAAAAAAACTTTAAGGGTTCAAAATTGTGCCAAGGAAAATAATTACTTAAAATGTCATTTTTACTCTCCTTTTGCTTAAATATTAATGTGCAAAAAAACATAAATAATGTTGTAAGGTGGAAAGTTTAAAAGGGTTTAGGGGAAAAATTTCCCCCAACAAACACCCCCTTAGTGTTTGCCCCCCCTAATCTTTAACACTAACTACATATTTGGTTGGAGAAAAAGAGAGGAGAGAGGAGAAAGGAGAGAGGAGAGAGGAAAAGAAAAATTATTATAACTAATCAAATTATTTTATTAATCTAATAATTTAATTTAATTAGTTGAAATAAGATAAACTCCCCTCTCCTCCGCTCTCTATCGTTTTCGTTTCCATCAAACCAAATAAGTTACAAACCTTGGCACAAACAGGCCATAAAGTTTGACTTTCTATCAATGGTAGGTTATAATAGTAGACTTTTTTTTTTTTTTTTTGTCGATTTTCACCTTGTTTAAATGTTACCATGATTTGAAATCAAAACCTCTAATTCAATATATATACGAAATGAATGTTAACATTAGGCTATTAAGTTATTTGGCAGTAAAGCCTTAACCACTTTTCAATACATGAAAAAGGCAATCGCATACAATTCCCTGACTAATGATTAATTGCTAACTGGTACTTACAGAAAAGTAAGTTGTGAATATTGCTATAACTTTATTTGAGCTTAAATCGGACTATATAAGTATAAAATATGGAATTCATTATTTTGGTGAGGGCATAATGAAAGTTCATTTAGCATATACCATGCCATCCTTACTCATCAAAGGCTTTCCATTTTTCTACTAATGGCTCCTTATTAAAGCCTGGAATCTGCGACCATGCATCGAAAATTTCAAACGGCCTTAAGAATTATTCATAGTTTTTATGCAATCATTTATACTCTATGTACTTCTTTTTACTTGAAAAAAATAATATATGATTTTTTTAAATTAGTATTTATCAATCAAATTTTTAAAAAATTTAAAGAAATAGTATTCCAAAACTAGATATTTTAATGAAGTATTTAAAAAAAATTAAAACAGTCTCATCCATATTATAAAAATAAGTTATTTTAATATTTTACAATTTATTAAAACAATGTAGTCTTAAATTAGTTTCCCTTCCAAATTTTTAATAATCTGATAGATAAATACTTTTCTCTAATTTTTTTTATTTAATAATTTTTATATACTCTCTATATATTTTTTATGGTAGCCTGATAGTTTCTAGCATTAGTTTTGAGCACCATATTACGGTTATGTTTAGTACAGCTGGTGGAACATTCTTTTGGACTTCAAAAGTTTCAGCTGTACCAAACACTATAATTTATGAAAAATACTACAACTTCTCACAAGTTAGTCTTTTTTCATTTCATTGCAAATCTCAGAAGTACCAAATTATTGCTTCTCCAAGGGTTTTTCATTTGGGTTTTAATAAAATTAATACATTATTCTTATTTTATCTTTATTTTTCTTTTTATTTATAAAAACAGCACTTATACAATAAATTTTTTTTTTACAAAACTTCTATTAAAAATTTGAACCACACCAAATTGACAGTAAGAGTGCCTCACTGATTGCTCAAAAGGAAGCACACATTAACTTGGTCTGTACTACAAAGTGGAGAAAAAAAAACATCATTTACCAATTAGTCTACACCTGCTGGGTTACTTTACACTTTTTAACCATACATGATATTTCTTCCAAAAAAGACATGAATTAGATTTTTCATTTTTATTTTTATCAACAGTAAACACTCTTAAATGTTTAAGAATCTTATTATGTGGGATATGAAAAACAAAAAGAAGAACAAAAACATTTTATTTCTTTTCATTGCGGGTTTGATAAATATATATATATATATGAGATTAGTACTTATCTGTCTTACCTCTTAAAAATTAAGAGGAAAATTATTCTAAAATTATATAATTTTAATAAAATATTATAGAGAAGCACAAAAAACATTCTAATTCATGTTTTAAAAATAAGATATTTTAATTTTTTTCAATGAAAATTTATTGAAACAACTTAATTTGAAGATGATTTTCCTACTAATTTTTAAGATATAAGGTGAATAGATACTATTATATATATATAATAACTTGAAGCACTAAATTCTTACCCGCAACAGCATTTATTTTATTGATGAAAGAACAACAACATTATTGATTCAAAGTAAATCGAACACAAACATATAGGAAACGAAGGACCCGAAAATCGTAGGTTTTACACGGATGAACATGAATTGAAACACAACAAACAACAGAGACTACCGCCCATAGGGAAAAAAACAACAACAACAGAAAAAATAAACGACAGACACTGGAACTGTGGGTGACTTCTAACAATAAAAGAAACACTAACTAAAGACGAAGCAAATAACAGGAAACAGAAATCATGGAGATGGCCAGGTCTTGCTGAAATCAAAGTGCAGCAGATTTTCAGTTTCAGTGCCGTTGTTGGAGTTGCTGCTGCTACCAAACAGTCCAAAAGGAAGCCCAGCCATTTCATTCCCAGCAGCGTTGTTGCTGTTGCTTCCATAGTTCAGATGGAACTGTTGCAAGCCCAAACCCATGTTTATATCAGTCCCAAAGCCATTGTCATTGATATTGGCATTCCCTCCAATATTTCCAAAAGGATGATGAAGTACCATATCAGCCGGAACACCACCATAAGGGCCCATGAAACCCATCATATGAGGCTGCAGCCCATGGATGTCAGTGCTTGGGGCTTTGAAATTCCCATGAGCCAGCATCCCTATGTCAGATCCACCAAGAAATGAGTGATGACGTGGCAGAACCATGTCATCAATGGTGGATCCGCCCATATATGTCTGGTGTGGGACTCCCATGCTGGTACCTGCTCCCATATTCTCATTGTTCAACATGTCAATGAACCACTGATCCCACACCAGAGGCTCAGGGAAACCCCTGACATTCGAGCCAAGACCAACACTAGGACCGCCACAAGTGCTCCGGGTCATGTCCTCTCCTCTAGAGCGTTGTGGAGTACCCACCTCATGAGTAGGAACAGGATCCTGTAGGTTTTTTCATCAACAACAAAAGTTATTACTTATTAGTGCACCTGATATACGTAACTTAGATTATATAAGCTTCTGAAGTTATTACGTACCTGTTGAAAATATTCAATTTTTTTGTTGGCCTCTTTGGAGATCTCGTCCAGCATCCAGAGCAACCCTTGCAGTTCAGTCACATGGAATTCGCCCAACTCTTTCCCACCGTTAACCTGGTGCAACAAAAGGGTTGCCTCAGCCTCTTTGTTCCTTCTTTGATGCCTCTTCATCAGGTCTTGAATCTTGGCTACCCTCTCCTTCATGTAGGTCTCCTGGTTCATCATCTTCTTACTTCGCTCCATCTCAGGCAAGCCATGGAACCTAGTCAGTAGTTGCTGTATAGAGGAACGAGATGGCCAAATAGAGGGTTCGACTTCATCCGGGCTATAGATGACAATAAAAGCCCGAACCCCACAAAGAGTGGTGAGCTCGCCCACCTTCTTGATCAGTCCGGCCCTTCTCTTCTTCAAGCTAGCTTTTCGAGCAGCGTCGTTGGCAATCCACACGAGCTTCACCTTTTTCCTCGTCATGGCTTCCTACTTTAGTGATAGCTAGCTATAAGAAGAGAGGAAATTGGATGCTTCAATGGTGCTGCCAAAGGTGGTATTTATAGTCAGGGAAAGGGCTCAGGAAAGAGATAAGCACATGGGCAGAATAGGAAAACTGAATTTTGAATATTTTGAATTGCATAAATGTAAAAAAATCTAGGAGGATGATTCTTGGTAAGAACATTTAATTCTCTTTCTTGACAATAAATTTTGAATTTTTTTTATGAACTAATTATATTGGGATTATTGTTGTTTTTAAAGAGTAGCAAAATGACCTTAATTCCAAGTTATATGACATAGAATGTCTATTTCTATTAAATCTATTTTGATAGATAAAAATATATATCATGATTTTTTAAATATAAATTGATAGAAAAAATATAATAATAATAATAATAATAATAATAACAACAGTTAGAAACGTATGAATTACGACTCTTTTGACCATGGTTTGTATCTAGCCTTATTTAATCTATAATCCAATATGATTTCTAAATTTATATTTTTTTTAGATACCATATATATACATATTGTTAGATTCCCAAAAAATGATTAGAATGATTTACGACTTATTTAATACAATAATTTAAGCTTGTTTGATATAGCGGCTAAAGTTGTAAATGAGCCGACTAGAGCCGAGTATTTATATTGCTAAAACTCAAGCTTGACTTTAGAGAAACTAATCAATTTGTTTACAATTTAAGACAATTAAATTGAATCACAATTTGAAACAATTAAAGTATAGCACTTCATGTATTTTTGATAATAAACTTTTTTTCTTTTCTAACAAAAAAATAAATTGAATTATATTAAGAAATTAGTGTTATATCTTATTTATTGATAAAAAAAATTAAAAGATTAGTGTTTATCAATTAGATTTGTAAAAAATTAAGTATAAAAATATTTTAAAATTACATTATTTTAATTAAATATCATAAGAAAAAACTAAAATAGTATTATTCTTACTTTAAAAATTAAGTTATTTTAATTTTTTTTTATAAATTTATTAAAATGACATAATTTTAAAATTATTTTTTATTTTATTTTTTACAAATCTTGTTGTAAACATTTTTTTTTCATCATATTATATAGTTTTATTAATTTTTTATCATATATAAATAAGCTATTCGCTAGTAACTTGCAAACATAATAAAGGAACTTGAACTTGAAATTTGATTATTTATCGA